CCCTCACCCTCACGTAACCTCCTCACCACACGCTGAGATGGACCCCTCTCCCCGCTGGAAACAGTTCCTGGAAACACTGGCCACAGACGCCTGGCTTCTGGCACCCATATCCTCTTGGCACCATTGGAAGCAACAAGTCCTCCACCTATGGTTACAGGGAACCTTCGTTGATTTCCAGCCTGAAGAAATCCACATCTACTCGTCCTTACTGTGGGGAGTCCTATCAACCCTTTCCTCCCAATCCTCAAGCCCTCACTCCCTTCTCCGCCCCTGTTCAGCAGGAAGCAGCCAGAGAGAAAGCAACGTCCACAACCCCATAGAGAAGAAAGGGGGGAATGAAGGGCCCCCACCCATAAGATGGCGAACTCACCCCTCACCCCCCCCAATCCCAGCACCTAGCCAATAGGCACCAGCCCTGTAGACGTGACACCTCAGTCAGCTCATGCCCCTTCCTATATAACCCAGCACCTTTCCCTAATAAAGCGGAATTCTCCGGTGAATTGCTGCTTTGTGTCGCTCCTTTCCTTTCAGTAAGATTAATCAGGGAAAAGGATGACACAAATTACCAATTCAGGAATGAGGGGGAGAGACTGAAGATATTAAAAGGACAATAAAGTGATACTGTTAACAGATTTTCATCAATCAAGTCAACAACTCAGATATTTTTACGATTATAGCTCACTCCATAAGAACATCAGATATTTGTTGAATTAGGGTATGTTGAGTCAAGGCTTTAGAAATAAAGCCATTTTCATCCCCGAGCAGCTCTCATCACTGGAAGGAAAAATAGCAAAGCTTAATACTGATGCGTGCAAAAGAATGAGGGGCACGTGAGTCAGGAAAAGCTCTGGGGAGGAGTCACTTGGCTGAGGCATTTTTATCAGAACAAGACCTGCTGTCCGTGAGCGTGGCAGGAGGCCTACGGTAGCCCTCCAAAGCCAAACCCCTGCAGAGATGTCCTAGCCTTTTCCCTACGCGCGCTCCCAGCGGCTGAAAGTCCTGCCGCTAAGTCGGACTTCGGCGGTCGTGCGCTTGCGCACTCGAGCAAAGCGCTCTCAGGAGTGGGGGAGGCGGCTGCCGGAAGTGTGACCTCTCGCTCCTGCTTAGTGTTCCTATCCGGGGTCAGGTAGGTCTTCCGGGTGTTACTGACCGGGCTCTCTACGCTGCTCTTTCGGCGACTTTTTGGTCTTCCGCTTCTTGCCACATCCCCCAACTTACCATAGCCCTGCTGGCCTTGCCTTTTTCTGTGTGTCGCTTCTTCCCGGCAGCCAAGCCCGGAGCTTAAATCTCTCTTTGAGTCCGGAGCCAGGCCTGGCCATTCCGCGGGCCACTATCTTCTTTGGCTCCCGCGGAACTACAACCGAGCGCCCCGGGCGGTCGCCGCTCCCGCCTCGGAGCTCCTGGGCGGGCAGTGCTGGTGGGCCCGGCTTAACTCTTAGCCGAAGACAGCTGTGAGTTAGGGGATTTCCAAGAGGGACGCAACCTTGCAGCCCAGATAGGGGGCGGTGCGCGGGCAAGTTTTTCTGAAACTGTACGGTTTTGTCTTGCGTGGGAGGTTCCGACAGTGCATATTAGATATCCCAGGCTTGTGGGTGGACCCCAGGCCGCTGTACTTTCTGAAGAATCTTAGGACCAATTACTTTTTTAACTCATTTCTCTTCCTTGCGCCTGCCCTCATCTCAGTCTAGGATCGAAAGAGGAATCTTGGGACGCTTGCATGGTGTTTCAAAGGGTGGTGAAGAACTAAGGTAAATATGTGAATTAATAATTTTAACATTTAGGCTTTCAATTAAATGGGATTGACATTGCCTTAGTTCCTCACTTTACAGGGATTGACATTGCCTTAGTTCCTCACTTTACAGGGAAGTGCACAGGTTAGGACCCTGCCAGATTGTTGTATACTCTTCTTTTACCGTTTACTTAAGCCTTTGTAGATAGGCTTTTCATTTCTTTTTCTAGGCCAGAAAACAACTGGGTTTATGTCTCTCACAATTTCTGGATTATCCCAGTATCCTGCCTTGTTTTTCTTTCAGCTCTTTGTTTAGAATAGCAGTTGTTTAGATTGTCTATGCCATAGGGTGAACAAAAAAGAAACTTTAATAAAACTCAGGCTAAATCGCCAACTTGTTAACAGATTCATGATAAATGATTTTGTAGAGAAAAGAGATCGTAATTTAATACTAAACCTGTGTATTTATATTGCAGGTAGCATACTATTTTTGTAAATACCATCATATTGTATGGTTTATTAGCACAAGGTTTTTGACATGTACTGATTAACAGCCAAAAGGCTCTTAATATGTACTGATTAACAGCCAACAGTAGTAACATTACTTTGTTGGCACGATAGCCCCAAATTTGATCTGGAAATGTTGTGTAACAGTCTCCATGTGAAACGGTTCATTTATCAGTCATTTAGAAATGGTTATTTCAAACCATCTGACAGGATTACTTTTTAGCACTTTGATGGAATCTAATTCTTCATTAAAGTAAACATCCTTTGCAAAACCTGCAGGTGATTTTGGAAGTGGGTGAGCAGGATTTAGGAATTGGACTATTTATATTGTGGAGAAAATAAGTGAGTTTAGGCGATCAAAGGTGTTGGAATAAAGTGAATAGGTAGCTTGATTTAGCCACTACAGTTCTGTTTTTTATGCTGGGTTGATTCTACGAAATTCCAGGTGCTAAGTTACAGGACCAAATACTTTATCACTAGGGATTACTTTGAATCTACTGTATTACAGCCTTATCTCATATAGGATTATTTACAAATAAACCTATATAGTTTCCAGTTGGGCCAATCTTAGTCAAGAAACAGTCCTTAAGATTCTTTCCTTAATGCAGGAACTAATGCAACAGTTTTAAAACAGTTCAAAATTTAACTAGATAAATCTTCTTATAGTCAAGTACCTATTGAGAAACTGGTAACTTTCAAGCTAAGAAAAATAGGGCATGACTAATATCTGGATTTTATTGATCATAAAATTTCTTATACCTGGCACCACAAGTTAATGTGGATAGTGGTTCATATAGATCATTCTCTACTTAATGAAGAAGCCTTTCATTCAGAATGTAAAGAAAAAGAAAAAAATTTTGTGGAGGTCCCCTTAATTCTTCTATGGCCATAGTTTTGCTGTATTTTATACTCTGAAACTTTATATTCTGTTTAAAAAAATTGATCCCTTATTTATGATAGGTTATTATTTTTGTGTCATTTTTATCTTCATCAAAACCAGTGTTGAAATGTAATAGAAAAAATGTTGAAATTCATGGGCTTTGGTTTTCTTCCTTGTTTGTCTCTAGAGGGTCATGCAGAATACCTATGTTGTGAAGCATTGAATGCCATTGGTTAAATTCTTCAGGAATGACCCTCCCTACTTTGAGGGTTAGCCCGGTTGAGCCAGATTTGAGGACCAAGATTCATATTGAGGAGAGCCTGACAGATATTTTGTGGAGGGACTCCAAAAGCTTTGGTACTTATCTGGAAATTTGGAATAGGCAGACCTAGATATCTGCCTTAAAGTAAACTTTTGGCTTTAGAATCATTCTAAGCTTTTAAGCCTGGATAATTTGGTCATTAGCTTTATAGAGTACTTACGGGCCACAAAACATCTTTTGACTTATTCTTAGCTTGAGTATGGCGATGTGATGGGATAGAAATAAGGTGAGATATGGGCTATCTCATTTTGTGTCTTCGAGTCTGAAAGAGTGTGTATATGACTTTACTTGGGTCTAAAAGAAAAACACAAGTGTATTATTTGTAGGTATAAGTAAAATGTCTAGAATTTTAACTGAACAGATCCAAATAAATCTGAAATTAGAACATTATAGTTCTAGTTTTTCTGAATTCAGTTCCTTCCTTTGATTAGATTTGTAGTATCTGTATTCCAACAATATGAAATATCAAGCAAAATTCACTGTAATAAATTGTATTTAATGTCATTTTCTCATGGGTCCTATGGAAAAGGAATTTTGTTTTATGGGGATCTGGGTCAGGGAAACAGAGCAAAGAAGGCCAAGAAAGAGTGTGAACCCAGCAAAGGGTAGAGCGAGGCTTTAGTTACTAGTCTTGAATTTGGCGTATACTTTTCATAAAGGAGTGTCTGGAATCCTTCTGGCTCAAGGTATTTTCCTTTCCTCTGAGCAGTGAAAATCAGGGAGTACAGTTCAGCAGATATGATAGGATTGATTTTTTAAAAAATCTCAAACAAGAGATAAAGGCCTGCTGAAGAAAGCTGACAAACTCTTGTGTGTTCTGGAGGTAACACCTTGTTTCTGATCCAAATTGGAGAATTAGGCATTTGGTGTGAGGTCTTCATGGCTCTAGACCCTTGTCCACAATCTGTTATGAACCCTGGACTGGTCAGTATTATCTGTGGCCAGCCTAGGGAATTTTAATTGTATAGAATTGAAAAAAACAAGGAAGAGAGTACATACAATTGATTAGTTTCTTCCCAGATCTTTCTCTTTTTTTCTCTGTTGTCTAGTGCTCCAGTTTTTCTAACCACCTGGTTTCAACCCCCGGAGGCAAATGCCATTTCGTTTACCTGCTTAAGTGTTATTTTCCTCTTGTGATAAAAGAAAACAACAAAAACCTAACTTTTATAGTTCATTTGGATTGATAATGTACTGAAAATGAGATTTTAGCACCCTTGTGCTTTTAGTGCCTTTCATAATAAATTGTGATGTATATAAACATGTAAATGTATGTGACATGTAGTATAAGAATATATGTAATTATCAAAGAAATACAATATATGGTAAATGAGGTATAATAAATATATTATAATTTGTTTAAACCAGTATTTTCAGTGTGAGAACCAAGCAGGTACCTGATTTTATTTCCTTTTTTATATGATCTTTTGAGTGTGTTTTTTCTGTAATTCAGTAATCTCTTTCATTTTTAACTTGTTGCTTTTCTATTCCTATATTTCTACTCTGTTAGCAAACTACTGTATGTGGTCAAATACGTCAGGTAATCTAACACTTAATTTTTAGTTTTTTCCCTCGGATATCTCTTTGAAGCCCTCTATACTCCTGCTCTAATTTAAGCTGTTAAGCTTCCGTTCACCATCATCCTGGGGAATTTACTTTGTCTCTGACCTGTATCAGTTCTTCCTTTTCCTAGATCCCAGATATTCTTTTTCACTTTTGATAAACATCTAAAAAGGTTTTTAGTCACCCTTACATTGATAATAGCTGGGTACAGAATTATATATAGCTTGAGAGCATCTCCTTCAGAGACCTAAAAGGCATTTGACTTCATTGTCTTGTGGTTTCCACTGTTAAGAGAAATTCAAATTAATTTTGATTACCAGCCCTTAGTTTATAACATTTTCCTCCTCTGTAATATTTTATGAGCCTCTTTTTTCTTATATTCTGAAATATCACTATAACATGACCTATTTTTTTAATTAAAAAAATTTTTAAGTTCTGCTTTGTACCCATTGGTTCCTATAAATCTAAGGATTGGTATTTTTCAGTTTTAGACATTTTCTTGTTTTATTGGTTTGTTAATTTCCTTCTCTGTATTTTCCCTGTTCTTTCTGGAACTTCCTTTATATTGGATGTTGGACCACATAGTTTCATTCTATTTTCTCTGCTTCCCCCTGCTGTGACCAGTCTTTCCTTTTTGTTCTAAGAGATTTCCTCAATATTGTCTTTTAATTTTCTGCTGGATATTTCTGCTTTCAATTTTATAATTTCCAAGAGCCCTTTCTGTTTTTTTAAACACCATATTATTTTATTTATGCAACTTCTTGATTAATTATGGACATTTTGATTTGGTTTTTGTTTGTTCTTGGGATTATTTCTGTTTATTCCTAGGTCTTTGTTTTCTCCTGGTAATCCGTGGATGTCCTGTTTAAGTGAGAGGTACTAGAAATCAAACTGGAAGCTCTGTGTGTGTGTTGGTGGGAGGGGTCATTCGGAGACTTCATTGTGGGTTGGTAGCAAGCTTAACTTTTTCTTGGTGGAAAACTATGACTATGTTATATGATTTCTCTCTTAGTTATTCCATAGATGAGTTTTCTAATTGCCTGTTGGGAAGGTAGTCTGGAAATCCTGTTTTCACTGTGTAGACTTTACTTAATACCTATTTTAATTTTGTTACCTTACCCTGCTATTTGTAAGTTTATAGCCTTTTAGGATCAGTCACCCGAACGAATATAAATAAATATGTAGTTTCCTGCCAGAGTCAGTGAATGGTTCTCATAGCTTTGTATAGTAGTGCCCCCTTATCCACAGGAGATACATTCCAAGGCCTCCAGTGGATACCTCAAAACCCTACATATACTGTTTATTTCTTATGCATATATACCTATGATAACATTTAATTTATAAATTAGGCACAGTAAGAGATTGACAACAACAATAATAAAGTAGAACAATTATAACAATATATTTTAATAAAAGTTATATGAATGTGGTCTTTCTCAAAATATTACTGTACTTGTGATGATGTGAGATGATAAAATGCCTCCATGATAAGCTGAAATGAGGTGATTGATATAGGCATTGTGATGTAGCATTAGGCTACTGTTGACCCTCTCACAGTATGTCAGGAGGATCATCTGATTCTAGGCCAAGGTTGACTTTGGAAAGTGAAACCTTGCATGGAGGGGGAACTACTGTACATGGGTTTTCTCCTGTATACATTCCTATGGAACAAACCTTCTTTTGTCAGAAGTCCTTAATATAAGTTATTTATACTTTGAGAAGAACCTTAGAAGTTTATAAACAGATATTAGGTGATACAAATTCCTTCCCTTATTTGATCAGATCTAAATCCTAGGAATCATGTTATCATATGATGGCTTATACCTTTGAATAGATTAAATTGGGAATAAATGTAAAACTCTGTAAGATTTTATTAAATGTCTCCCTTGGGTGGTTTGTTTTTAATTATTAGAGTATGTGGTGATAACTTGATTTGTAAAAGATTTGTTGATATTAGGGTAAAATTATCAGGAATTAGAAACTTGCATATATTTTAGTATCATTTGAATAATAATATGCTTAACCTAGATTTAAAATTCATTATTAGTAAGTTTTTTGGTCACCTGTAGTGTGTCTTAAGAGATGTTTAAATTTTTAAAAGTAACTTTGAAAACACATTTCATAACTAATTGCTTACAAGAGCAGATACTAAAATGTTCAAATCTTGCGACTAATAATTTGTCTTTAAAACTATTCTAGGTAGAAGAATACATGTTCCCAAACTCAATTTTGGGTCGCCCACCTTACACTCCAAACCATCAACAATCTAATGACTTCTCCGTGTCACCAATTTTTTATTCACACCAGCAGCAGCTTGTAGATGCACAGTTCAACTTTCAGAATGCAGAGTAAGTATGGTGATATTTTGGTTCATATCATTTCTAAATTTTGTTATCTGCTTGACAGATTTTTTTTATAAGGAACATTTCAAGTTAGAGAAAATATTCATTGCCTTATTTTGATAAGTAAAATATTTTTCTGAAATTATTCTTTTGTTTTTAAAAGAAAAAATGTTTATTACTACTATTTTGTTTTTGGTAGCTTGTCTAGAGCTGTGTCATTACAGCAGTTGACATATGGAAATGTCAGTCAAACACAGACCTCAACTTCTCCATTATTTCGAGGAAGGAAGTAAGTACTTATTTTATTAGGTTATAAATTATTTATTTAGTAAGTATTTAATAATTTTAAAAGGAAAATTTTTCATTTGTGAAAACTATGTAACAGTGTATCTTGTATTAAAATTGTATGGACACTGCCCTAAATTTGTTTACTGGGACCTGTGTCCTATCACAGGATTTTAAAACGTCTATGAATTTAAAACATTTTGGGGACACTTTTGTTAATTTGTTGTTCCCACCATTATAAGTTTTAGATGGAATGAAGCTATATTTCTTCAGAAAACTACTTTTAATTGAGATTTTTAACTAAGTTGGATAGCTTTCTGTATTTGCAAGGGCTACCATAACAGAGTACAACAGACTGAGTGGCTTAAACAACAAATTTCTCACAATTCTGGAAGCTAGAAGTTTAAGATAAAGAGTAGGCAGGTTTGGTTTCTTCTGAGGCCTCCCTCCTTGGCTTTTAGATGGCTGCTCTCTCTCTGGGTCCTCACATGGTCATCCCTCTGTCTTGGGTCTTCTGTGTCCTGATCTCATCTTCTAAGGATACTAGTTTTACTGGATTTGGGCCCATCCCGATGGCCCCATTTTAACTTAATTCTTCTTGGTGACTTACTTTGTAGTCACATTTTGAGGTACTGGGAGTTCGAGCTTAACCATATGAATTTTAAAGGGAAGCAATTAAGTACAAAGTACCTTCTTTCTAATAAAGTTTGCTATTTGACTTATCTAAATCTTAATACAGGTAAGGTTCCATGATAAATACTTTTAGAGTGAAAATTTCTGCATGACATAAAGCTTTCTATAGAGAAGTCAGAAGCCAAATAATTTTAACCAATTTAATTAAAATAAATTTATGTATTACAAAGTATAATAGAACTTCAGAGGTGATTAGTAAAATAAGATGGCAATATTTGCAGGATGTTACTATTTAAAGCCTATATAAACATTCCATAACTTTTTTTTGTTTTTTTTTTTGTTTTTTTTTATGCTTTAATCTTATATCCAGAACCTTTTATGGAAGGGCAGAGGCACCAGGCACTGGGAAGTGCTGCCTGGGTAGAAGGAGAAATTTTTTTGTTTTTTTTGAGAGGTCATCTCTCATATTTATTGATCAAATGGTTGTTAACAACTATAAAATTCTGTATACGGGAGTCAATGCTCAATGCACAATCATTAATCCACCTCAAGCCTAATTCTCGTCAGTCTCCAATCTTCTGAAGCATAACGAACAAGTTCTTACATGGTGAATGAATTCTTACATAGTGAATAAGTTCTTACATGGTGAACAGTACAAGGGCAATCATCACAGAAACTTTCAGTTTTGATCACGCATTATGAACTATAAATAATCAGGTCAAATATGAATATTCGTTTGATTTTTATACTTGATTTATATGTGGATCCCACATTTCTCCCTTTATTATTATTATTATTTTTATTTTTAATAAAATGCTGAAGTGGTAGGTAGATGCAAGATAAAGGTAGAAAACATAGTTTAGTGCTGTAAGAAGGCAAATGTAGATGATCAGATGATCAGGTGTGTGCCTATGGACTAAGTATTAATCCAGGCTAGACAAGGGCAGCAAGACATCCACGGATGCAGAAGATTTCTCTCAAAGCAGGGGGGGTGAGGTTCTGAGCCTCACCTCTGTTGATCCCCAAATTCTCACCTGATGGCCCCCCTGCGACTGTGCCTGTCTTAGGTTGTTCCTCCCTTGAGGAATCTTACCCGTCTCTGGCTAACCAGTCATCTTCCGGGGCCATACAGGGAAATGTAAAGTTGGTAAGTGAGAGAGAAGCCATATTGTTTGCAAAGGTTAGCTTTTTACTTCTTTGCAGATTTATGCCCTGTGGCTTCTATGCCCAGCACTTGTCTCGAGGTATCTTTACCACCTGGAGGAATTATGATACTCGGTAAATTCGATATGAGGCACGAATTCTATTTAA